TGTATTAGACTTTATGTGTATTCACTTTCATGGGATATACTGAAGCTATAGTGCTGTAGTATTTCTCTTCTTCCACTAGATGGCTGTCTTATTTCCAAATCCAACCTTAAACAATCTGTCAAAAACAGCTGATTATCTGATAAATTCAGGGATTTTAGAAAGAAAGTAACAAGACAGTCCCCCAAAATCACCTTTCAAATTGTTTAAGCTTTTGTTTAAAGCTTCCCTTGGGCTTCTTTTGCCTCTTGATTTTAAGTTTTTTTTTCTTTCCATGTACTCTCCGTATTTTTTGGTGTATAAGACGCACCTTTTTCCCTCAAAAAAAAAGAGGCTGAAAATCTGGGTGCGTCTTATACACTGAATAAAGCACTTTTTTGCCTCCTGAAACTCCATCCCTTCACCCAAATGCCCATGCATAACTTGTAGGAAGCTTTCAGAGAGCTCCTGGGGGCGGAGGGGGGGCAAAATTGAGCAAAAAACTGCCCAATTTCTGCTCATTTCTGCCCTCCCCAGCCCCCAGGAGCACTCTATAAGCTTCCTAATGTCCTTTTTTGACAAAAAATGAGCCCATTTTTGCAAAAAAATGGACTGATTTTGCTCATTCCCCCACCCCCCTAGGAATACTCTACAAGCCGCCTAAGGGCTATTCATGTCCTTTAAAAAAAAATGGGCCCGTTTTTGTGAAAAACGGGCCATTTTGGGGAGGTTTGCAGAGTACAAGAACTTTTTTTAATTCACCTTTTCGAACTCTTTGTGCGTCTTATACTCCAAAAAATATGATAATCACCGCTTAACACACTCAAAACCATAGACTTTAGGAGAAATCCTCCCATACTACCACCTCTTATAATACTAGACAACACAGTATCAACAGCAAAGACCTCCCCATTTCTAGGTTCTATCATACCTCAAGACCTAAAATGGACACCTAACATCAAAAACGTCATTAAAAAAGCACAATAAAGATTGTTCTCTCTGTGCCAACTCAGAAAATCCAAACTGCCCAAGGAGTTGCTGATACAGTTCTACAGAGGAATTATTGAGTCTGTCATCTGCACCTCTATAACTTTCTGGTTTGGTTCTGCAACCCAACAATACAGACACAGATTTCAGAGGATAATTAAAACTGCAAAAAAATAAACAATTACTATCAACCTGCCTTCCATTGAGGACTTGTATACTGCACGAGTCAAAAAGAGGGCTATGAAAGTATTTATAGACCCCTCACATCCTGGACATAACTTGTTTCAACTCCTATCCTTAAAACGACGCTACAGAGCACTGCATACCAGAACAACTAGATGCAAGAACAGGTTTTTTTCCGGAACACCATCACTCTGCTAAACAAATAATTCCCTCAACACTGTCAAACTATTCAATAAGTCTGCATTACTATTAATCTTCTCATTGTTCCTACCCCCCCCTCTCCTCCCTGTCAAGGTTCTGACAGATGCCCTAATTAACTCATGAGTCTCAAGGCAAGTTTCAAAAGAAAACCCTTTATTAGGAGTAGCATGTTGGCATCTTCTCAAGTGCGGTCAACTCTGCCGCACGTAATTTATGGCTCAACTTTGACCCTGTTTTCCCCCTCCTCTCAGTCTGTGTCATAAATCACATTCTCCAATGAGGCACTCTTGTGGGCTGTAGAAATCCATGCCTCACAAGCCGGCTTTGGTAATCTGAGTTTCAGCCCGGGAAGAAGGTATGTGTGAAATGTGCTCTTCCCTTGCTGCCCATGGCAACTCGAAAGCAGACTAGAAATGCTTTGCACTCCCACTTATGACTGTATGACTGTAACTTTGTTGTTTGTATCCTTACGATTTATATTGATTGTTGCCTAGTTGATTGCTCATTTGTACTAATGACTATCATTAAGTGTTGTACCTTATGATTCTTGACGAATGTATCTTTTCTTTTTATGTACACTGAGAGCATATACACCAAAGACAAATTCCTTGTGTGTCCAATCATACTTGACCAATAAAGAATTCTTTCTTTCTTTCTTTCTTTCTTTCTTTCTTTCTTTCTTTCTTTCTT